ACATCTGCTTAAAAATCGAATGAAACATCTGTCCGTTACATTTTTTTATCTGTTGACCGATAACGCAATTCAGTACATCGACGGGTCATTTCCCAAATCAGAAAATCGAAATAGCAGAATGCCGAAATATACAGCCCTTTGCTAACATCCCCAATATTGCGTCTTTGTGAAATATCGACATCATTAGGTTTTGAATTATAATATGCAATCCAAGCCGACAATCCAGGATGAAAACAAGCAGATTTTGGCGATTTTTTGCAGGCAAATGTTTTTTCCTGATTTTAGTGCGAAATTGTCATCATCTTGCTCTTGTCTTTCGAATTTTGTATGATTTATTCTTCAAATCACAAAGATCTCCATCGTCTAGCATCACAATCCGACCGTAATATATTGGCATCGGCTCACTCGTCTCTTACCTAAAAGAATCTTTTTAAGTCAGTACCCGGTGATATCTACCGTTTTGCTTTGCGGCGTTGGATTGGGGGTGCTGTGTTTTCTCCGTCATCTGATGACGGCCGTTTTCTAGATAACTTGACGGGCCCTCCTTTTCGACTTGCTTGTGGCTCTGGGCTGAAATTCTGAATGAGTATTTGATAGCGTTGATTTTGGCGTAGAACATTCCGCCGTTTTCTATTAAATGTAGATTTGCACGAGTCTTAATCCGCTTTTTATGCTCCTCAAAATTGCGAATATTTTTGATTGCTTATTAGGATGGCATAATCAGTGATTATAAGGACGTGAGGTCTCTAAAACTTACCTCACAATTGGCGCTTTGACCTCGTCTTCTTGTGGCTGGAGGAAATCGGCGAACGGGTTGACAAAAAGCTGTTTCTTTGATTTGATGAGCTCATCGATATATGATATCAGATCTTTTACTTGAAGCGGATAAGCCTTTCCGGCTATTCCTTTTAAGCTTTCAAGAAGTTCTGGTGTCCTGAAAAGCAAAAACTTGATATGATACATCTAAATATTGATATGGTAGATGCTTTTACACGCGCGGTTCGTTAAGTTACGAAAAAAACTTACGTATTGTCGACGCAAAGCTCGGAACGCTGATGATGTTTCCTGCCAGTATGTGCGGCAACAACCGTCGCCGTCTTGGCCGTGTAGGGGCATTCTGAATTTTGTAGTGCTACTTTGGCCGGAATCAATTTCAGCATCACTGCCTTGAAATGACGGTTGGTTAGAGTTAATATTCGCTTACTTACCTGTACAAGAAAATGGCTGGGCCGCTAAATGGGTCCGTAGATGGTCGAGCAATTTCCGGGCGGTGGCAACGGGGGTTGGGTAACAGACATGGTACGCTCCGCAAATCTAAACAGGTAACTTTTTTGTTCCTGGTACTAGCTATTTTGTATTCCCTTATTTTAAACTGAAATCGAAACTTTTATTTTATCCCCCGAGGCTCTATCGAACGATGTGTTAAATAACCCCAAAAATGACGAAAATATGGACAATTTTGGGCCTTTCAGAGCAACGGGGAGGAGTAACGCAAAGTCTTGCCCTGAAATCACCTTCAAAATCCCCGCTTTGTTACGGGAAATATCGAAATTTTAGCCCACCACGCATTTATTTTTCTCAATCTCCATAGAACGTTCAGGCATCGGCCGTCGAGAATTCATTTCAGCCCGAAGGATACAGCTAAAAAATGTTGGATCGATAGACTCGGCTAAAACAAATAGATGCAATTTGAAAAGTGTTTTTTTTTTTGCAAGGATCGCAAAGGTTGACTAACCAGATTATTCCACGTTTTCGATCATTTTCAGCATGGAAAAAGTCAAAAGTCACTTTTTTCTGGCAGCCCTTGAAAAGCGCTTCAGAAACCTCGACTACCCAAAAAAGAAAATTCGCACATTCTTTATTTTGGCACGCGGTCTATTGGCTTTTTCCTCGAAAAATGTTGAATTTGTGCTTGTTACACTATCGTGGGTATACATATAGAGCATTAATGACAAAATCCGGCCGAGAAAGTACTTTACCCGGACCTCCGTTGCATCTTTTAGCTTCGCTGTAGGTCCAAATTTTGGTTTTCATTTATAACCACTGATTTTTTTAAGCAATCCGATTTTCAAAGCGTAAAAGCCGTCTGATGAGTGGCTTGAGCAGCCAGAGGAGGAAATGAGGTTGATGAGGATCACGATCAAGAAAACATGTGATGCCACCGCGGCCGTCCGGTCCCGCTGGGTGGGTAGCATTCGATGACGACGTGAAATGCTGCAGCCCAAGCCATATGCAAACGCCTACGGCTGCAAGAGGCAAAGTTGCGCGATCTAGCGAGCTAGCGAGGAAATTTAACTCAGTTTACTAGTCTGAGGTAAAGGTTCCTTAACGTAAAGTGAATCAAATTTTGTAGTTTTAAAAACTATTCTGCTATTTTGAAAACTTCATCGACCAAAACGGCAAAAATTATGCCAAGATATTTAGTTTCATTTAGAAAAACCCCATCTATACAGTAATTTTTAATTAATAAAAACAGAAGAGATTATAGTTCACAGACAGTCAGTAGCTTTATTCCGTGAAAACCGAGGCAAGGCTCAAAAAATACGAGATGCGTTAGCGGCGGTTTTTCAGTGCTTCAACTTCGTCGCTGAGCAGACTATTCTCAGAGGTGATGCGACCGAGCTGCGAATAGACCTGAAAAGGAAGTAGTATACGAGTTTAATTGAGCATGATTAAATCAGCGTTTAACTGAATTTTGCTGTTTTTACCATACCTATATTTTAAATTTATGGGCTAAAATTAAAATTCATAGTTTATTTTTGAGCCTCTATCGAATGACGTTAAAAATTGAGCATAAAGTATCGACAATTTTGAAAATTAGCCCTTACTCCATTTGAAAAATTAGGATTTTCAATCCTCTATCTAAGGTTTATTTTTGTTTTTGCTATAACTTTTTTAAATACGTTAGTTTCAGCTGTCGTTGAAACCACT